GTTAGGGTACTTATTCTTGGCGGGGTTTCAAGAGGCGGGGCTTTTCTGCCCGAGTGCCCAACTTCTGGAATCTTCTCTCCCTGGGAGCGAAGTTAGCTCCATCCCTGTTAACATCCCACTAGTCCCACAAGAACTGGTTCTCATCTGCTTGAGGATGCCAGGGTGTCAATTCACAAAGCATTCCTGGCTTGCTCTTGAGTTGTCATAGGAAAGGGGGGATGGGAAACCAAAGTGAAACTGCACTGCACCACAAGACAGATGTACATTCCAGACTTGCCTCTCTCAAGGCTGTATCCCAGGGTTACTTACAGTGACTGGAGGGGAGAGCTCTCTACAACCCACAGAGTTTCCCCATTGGTAAATGTGATTCATCAATCACACCCTGGTGGGGAGGGGGAAACAGGGTCATGCTTGGGGCCGTAAATTTTGTGGAGTCAGAGCTGGCTTCACTTTGGTATGTGCCGACATGAAGCTCTTAATAAATGACTGGATTTCTTTTGAAGCTTGGCTCGAGGCTCATGATTTAATTAGGGCATCCTTCAGAACCCTAACACAGGGGACTTGTGAGAGCTTGTGGTGGCTCCCTTACTGCAGTTAACATTATCTTCTCTTATTCTTGTGCTTTTAATATATTTTAGAAATGAATGTTTTTATATGTGTATCATTTTTAATTAAATGTTGCATGCCATCCAATGTTGCCTGTTTTTTTTTTGTTTTTTTGTGAGATGGGCAACCATCGATCTGTAACATAAAGCATCTTTTGGATTCTCCAAAATAAACCCTTTTCTATGATGCCATTCTGGGTCTCTCCTCTGTTCTCTGTATGCACCTTTCCTGCACTGCTCTCAAGACGAATATTCTGATGGCTCCGCCTTCTTCCACCAGGTACAATGCTCAGGAATATTATGACAAGCTTCCTGAATTGAAGCAAGCTATGGATCAGATCAAGAGTGGTTTCTTTTCACCACAACAACCTGACCTGTTCAAAGATTTGGTCAACATGTTGTTCTACCATGACCGGTAAGTAAAGATGCCTTACGTATTTTTTTTAATGGCCATTTGTGTCCTTATCATTTGTCAGAGAGACATTTGAGTCCAAATAAGGTCAGTTTTCTTTGGTCCATGTAATTAAAAAGCACCAAGAAACAAAGATCCAGTATGAAATTCTTCTCTTAACTCATTTTGTCATGCCAATGAAATTCAGGATAGAATTGCAGGGTAGTGGTATATGCACAAAATCATAGTTTTAATGCTTAGGATCACCACTTGTTAAAGAAAATGTGTTACTCCCCACCCAAGTGGTGACTTGTCAAGAGAGTTTTGCAGTATCCTCTATTCTTAGATAAGGTTTTGGACTGCATTAAAATGAAATGCTCTTATGGGCCAGTGGACTAATTCTAAATTTTGGGGACATTCTTTTGCTTTACTCACAAATTAGATGATATGGGGGAGTGATTTGTTATCATAGAGTGCCCAATTATCAGAAACAGACTGGCATGGTTGTTCCCCACCATTCTCTCTTGCTTTCATGGATGCTTCTTACAAGATGTTAAAATTTATTGTTCTGGACACTTCTGGAACACAGTATTTGTTTTTATTCTGAACCATTCTGATCTTACGTGGTCTGGCAGTTTCCAAAAAGCCAATCCTCGGAACAAAAATTAATTTGTGGTGTTCCAAAGAGATAGTGTTCTGGAATAATGAATTTCAAGCCTAACCAGTGGCCTAGGTCTAGCAATCTAAAACCCAAATTGCCTTCAAAGCATTTCACACTTTTTGGTTTTTTTCTTTTGGATAGATTTAAAGTTTTTGCAGACTACGAAGCTTACGTCAAGTGCCAAGACAGTGTCAGTCAACTCTATATGGTAAGCTGGGTGTGGAGAATATTTACAATGTTTATTGTATTCAAACAAATAGTCAAAGTGCTAATCCATCATGTGTTCTGTCCTGTGTATCCCTGACCACACAAATTAACTATCTGTTCTACAATGAATTTGTACAACACATATACTCAGTTAAATTGACCCATGTTTACTGGACTAAATTTTTTGAGTTTTCATGATTTACTGGATTAACCACTAACTAAATTTAACGGATTAACAAAAACTAGAGTAGAAATGATTCATGAATCATGCCAAACTATTCAAACTTAATTTTTTTGAATGCTTTATGCAATGCATCGGCTTAGTATCCGTGATTTGAAAATAATTCATTTTGTTGCCATGAAGTTGGCTGACCAATTTTATTCATTACAGTGACTAAATGAGTGTGCTTTTAAGTCTTTCTATAACTCAAATTCTATTACTCTATAATTAGTGACCCGGATTCTACAAGCAAACAAATAAGTAAAATAATTAAGCAGCTTTTACAGCACACAGAGTGCTGTGAAGTGCTATAGAAGAGTATATAAGCCTAAAATGCTAATGCTATTTTACTTAAAATAAGGCAGCTTTGAATTTTAGCTAGGGCGTTAAGATGATCAGAGTATGTCTAATTTTATGGACAGTAGCATAGCATATTCAAGAAAATGAAAGCATTACTGATCTGATAAAAGCAACTGTGCATAAAATAAATCAATTGTTTGGGTACTTCACTANGCATCTTATACTCCAAAAAATACAATACGTTGACAGTTCCTTGGCAGTCAATCTGGAGAGTACCAGGTTTTGGAAGACTGCAATACAATAAGACTTTCAGAAAAGCTTTGGAGTTAACTGATAAGGGCCATCATAAGAGGCACTTTTGAGCAAATCTTGTCATATTTCTGCTTACCAGAGGGAATACAAACCTCAGGGAAGACTCAAATTTGGTCTTTCACAAAGTACAATACACTTTCTACCAAAGTATGTTGGTGTGAGCAGGCTACAACAACATGCATATATGCAAACAAGAAAATAATTGTTGGGTAAGTTTCTACATTCTCTATAGGTGAAGTACAAGTGGCTATGGGGCTCACAGCCCAGTGACTAGATGGGAGGAAGCAGCCTGCAATAGACCAATTGAAAGCCAACTCAAACTCCAAAAATGTTTCCTGCATGCAACCTAGAATGTCCATATAGGAGGTTTTCCTCCATTTTCCTGGAGAAAATGTTATGCTCAAGCTGTAGTACCTTGGATTACTTCATCTTCCCTCAATGGTGGGCTACTACAAAATGGAAGTAGTGTTTCAAAGACATGTCCTTAGCTAAAAGCAAATAAGTCAATTTTTATTGGGGATGCAAGAAAGCTGACTAGAAGAACTTGTTCCATTGCCAACCTAGTCAATCTTTGCAAATAGAATTGAAAGTAACACCTCGAGCAAAAAAGATTTTTGGCTGGTTCTGTCTTCTTTTCACTTGGTTACGAAACCAAACAAGTGGTCATACCTCCCTTTCTCTTCACAGGAAAACAAAGTCAAATTTGCCCAGCAACTGGAGCAGGAATATAAAGTGAAGATCAACCCAGCTTCCATGTTTGATGTGCAAGTCAAGAGAATTCATGAATACAAGCGGCAGCTCATGAATTGCCTGCATGTGATCACCATGTACAACCGTGAGTAAAGTTGTGCCTGGCACACAGCAAACAGAGTAGTCTGTTTTTTAGCTGCTTCTGCTTGCATAAATGCAACGACACTGCTTTAAAGTAGAATAATGTTTAAAGAATTACAATCTGAAACAAAACAGTGGTGCGGTGGCCTAGTCTCCCAATCAGGAGCCTGTGAGTTCGATCCTAGGTAGAGGCAGGTATTTCTCTCTCTGGGCACACTGAGAATGCATCTGCTGAACAAAAACACCATCAGTCAATGTCCAGTTGGGTGACTTCATATTGTTTGGGTAATGGACCCTACATTTATGGTTTTCCAGCTCTGTCTTCTGATGGTTGACCTTGGGTTGACACACCATGGGCTGGCACAGCTTGGTTCCCATTTCCCCCATCCTGATTCCTCCCTATATTCCAATCTCTCCTCCCTCCCCTCCCACATTAGTAACGTCAGGCTATCAGCTTGTGATACGTGGTTAGCAGAATGGCAGCCACGATACTTGAAGAAAATGTTCATAAGATTGTCTGAGAATTCCAGAGGTATCCATCAGCACCTTCAAAGTTGGGAACGTCATGGCAAGAAAGGGCAAAGGAAGCCAAATTGGCTGCAGTTGTTCAAGAAAGAGCTGAGCTGACATGATGGGCCTCAAAGAAAGCAACTCAAGGGAAGCAAAGAGAGATGGGGGCTGGAAGAGGCAAATATGACTACTTTATGCCTGGACAGAAGTCAAGCTTAGGTTCTCTGCTCTTTCTCCATTGCAGGCATTAAACGAGATCCAACAAAGCCATTTGTGCCCCGGACTGTGATAATTGGAGGAAAAGTGAGTGATGGATTTGAGGGTCAAGATTCATCTTTTGGGTGTTCTGCAAAGCAAATTGCAACATTCCTGGAAATGCCATTTTCTATCCTGAACTCTCATTACTAATCCATTTCTAATTACTCACATAGGTAGCATTAAGAGAGTCTTTCTTGTTTTCTCACCAGGTTAAATTGTGTGTGCGCACGCACCCACATGTGTGCACATTTGTGTGTGTGTGTATGTATGTATGTATGTATGTATGTATGTATAAATAGTCTTGAGTAGATATGGATGTATCATAAAAAGTAGAATATCCAGGCGCCTTCAGAATTATGGCCCTTTTTTTTATTTTCATACATGTAACCACAAGTATACCATTGCATCTTAACAATCACTATTTCATATTATCCAATATTATATCAATTCCTCTTACCATCAAACCACAACAACTGTTGTTTGCTCTTCTGCTTTCCATATACCATATTATATCCTATTTCACCTCCACCCTATCTCCTCTCCCTCTCTCCTCTTCCCTACATCCTTTCTTCCCTCTCTTCTCTACTTCCCCTTCCTCTCTCCTTCTCCTCTCTCCTCTTTCCACTCCTTCTCTCTCTTCTACTCTTT